TGGCATTTATTTCACCTCAACCCAAAAGATTGAAAGTGGGTTATTTCAACGGGTTTTTATGTTGTCTTAAACTTGACAAAATTGCATGAAGTTTACATTTTTTAAAAGACAAAGGGTTCTTTTACCAATATTTGCTGCGGAGCGACCGAAGGGAGCGAGCAGCAACATAATCAGGATTTAAAGGAAAAATATAAAGGGCGACGAATTCTCGAATTCATCACTTTTTACCACAATGTATTGCATTTAACCACACTTTTAACCGCAATGCATTGCATTTAACCAGAGTGCATTGCGCCCCGAACAACTCAAAAAAAAAAACATCAGGAAGTTCGGTGGGTGAGATAGTGCATCGTTCGCTGCTCAGACTTAGAGTTTTCTTTGTGGCAAATTTTCTACAGCACGGTTAGAGGTCTTACCAAATTTTAAGACACGCAGGAGTCTTTCAGATGAGTACGATGGTTAACTTGGGGATTGGATTTCAATTCAAGAGCCTTTGACTCGTCCAGGTGTTAAACCTGACGAGAAGATGAGCATTTGCTCTTCGACTCCGCAACACGGGGGATATACAAATTCCAGCTTGCTAGAAGGTGATGTGAAAGTGAGAAAATGTCATGCAGTGCTATTCTTAAGAAACTGTATGAGCCGAAAATGGATGTGATTTTGACCATTCGCTTCAAAATAACAGCGGAAATAGAAATAACAAAACATATGTTTTGTGTCCTACTTTGCACACGAGGACGTGTATCGGCGTTTTGAAAAGCATAATTATGTTCTCTCATTCATTCATTGCCATGGAATATGCGTTTACATTGTTTTTTCACTGTTAATAGCTCGGTTAATGCGGCTGGCGATCATCTTGCCGGCGGAAGTTTCATGGAAAAGGAATAAATCAAGACTTTTCCTAAAGTTTACGTAGTCGCGTCGAGTCGAAGGTGCAGGGTTCGAGTCCTACCAAATTCTTAATTCCTTCTTTCTTTTTTTTCCGTTTTTTGTGTTGTGGTTTTCTATAAATATACAGCTAAATAACTGTTACTTAATAAAGTGCAACAAACAGCAAGAAAAGTATTGTGTTTCCAGAGAAAATATCGTGCACCGTATATTAAATATATGGATAAACAATCTGAATTTCTATTATTTCCTACAATTTACTGTGGGAAAACCAGAGTTATAACCACTTGATCATTTTCTATACAACGTTCCCACGAGTTCTTTCTATAGACTGATAGTAATTATTCTAGTACTTTCCAACATGTAAATAGGACATTCAATATCATTTTCGATTCTTTTAAGTCTCGCTGCCTAACTAATGCCAGTATCAACAGAATGTGCCGCAGCATTACTATCTTTTAAATACCCTAGTTAAAATAGCAAACCGGGAATTCAACGCGTTTTGGCGTACGGAGTTAGCGAAGTTGCAGAGTTTTTCATGGTTTTTCCGGGGGATCGGGGGCCGCCTCGGCGTAATTTGAACTTTTGGGTTTTTCGGAAAAAGCAAAGCGCGATGGAACTTTTAATTTCCATTTTTGAAAATAGTTCACCAAAAGGGTTTTTTAGGTCACGGAATAAAATAAATTATGAAATTTTGCAACTGTCGGCGGTTTCTCGATATTTACAGTCAGGGCCTCTTAAAGATTTTGAGACTAGAGGGTGGAGGTTTTCAAATTTCAATCCCTTTAAATCTACTTGCGGTGCACTGAGTGTTTAAGAAATTCTGCAAGACTGAACTGGCCATCTTCCTCGATTACCACATTTGGTTAAAAGACAAGCGACGGTCAAGCGTTTTGTTTTCAGTGCGCCTTGCTTGTGGTATTACTGCGCTTTTCACAAACATGCGAACTCTATAAGTTCAAAAGTCGCCTTCACAATTGCGTTTTTGGCTGCCGTCAATCATAATTACGATCACAAGCAACGAACCTTGAAACAGAGAAACACACAAAACGGATCGAAATCATCCAATCACAAATCACAAACCATGACCTTTTGAACTTGTTAAAGTGACGTTTTGTTTCCTAAGAGGTCCGTTAAGATGATTGACGGCAGCGAAAAACGCAATCGTCAGTTGGCTTTTGAACTTCAGAATTCGCAAGTTTGTGAAAAGCGCAGTAAGAGGGTCTGGATGGGGTTAAGTGACAACTTACAAATGGCCAAAATTTTAACTGACAACTGACAAATAGCCTAAAATTTAACTGACAACTGACATTTGCCTTGGGTTTTACCGACAACTGACGAAGGACCAGATTGTCCCTTATTTTCTAAAAAACCCATTTTTAAGGCCTTAAATAGCATTGTTCCACTCTTTTGGTCAGGCAGTGTGATCAAATGTGTGTTTTTTGGGCTAATCTTAGCAGCAAGACACTTAAGTGTCATATTTCGTTAACGATTTACTGTAAAACCCATTTTATGTACCATCTGTGGTAAAAATGACCTTTGATCTCAAATTTACGCTCCCCTGAGAACGCGCCAGCATACGATGGCTGCTAATGAGGGCGTTACAAAAGCAATTGCAAGTTTTTTCCGAGATGATTCAGATACGGTCTTTCTTTCGATCTACGTCCCAGTAATATATTCTGAAGGTATAAATTTTGATTGGCATAATGGTTGGAAACGTTGGTCTCTGAGCCAGCAAAAACGTTCGAGTGGAGGGGAGTAACTCAAGACTTGAGAAATGGAGGGCCACTTGAAATGCTAACAATAGCAAAACTGATAAAAATTAAGGTACTATTGCATCAGTTTTCGAATTTAATTACATTATATGTGTCTTTAAAGCTAAATTTCGCATCAAAAATATAGAAATAAGTTTCACAGTTAATCATTAATAATCATTTAACTGACAACTCACAAAAAGCCTTAAATTTAACTGACAACTGACAAATGGCCAAAATTTTAACTGGCAACTGACATTTGCACCCCCTCATCGAGACCCTCTATTATCGAGGGCGTGTGCTTCTTGGCGAAGAGCCACTGCGCGTATGGCTATGAAAATCTCTCTTAAATTGACTCATCTCCATTCTTCTCACTTACGTAAACATGTGAAGCAGTCTTGCAAGACAAATAGGTTGAGCATGTGCGAGCGCTCTTGTCAGCGGAGGGAGCTTTTAGTTGAACTGACTAATTAGATCCGATTTTTATTTTTTAGGCATTCTTAGTTATTACTTTGTAAATTCTTGCCAATTTGTTATTCTTAACGTATCTTCATTATTTGTAATACGCATATGAATATATATTGTACGGTATATGCGCAATATGTTTCATTTTTATGATTCTTTAGTATTTACCAAATCATTGACTAGCACTTTTGGCACGTTTTGATTGGCTCCCGCAACTCGGAAGATCCTTGGCTCTTCACTGTTCTGCGACCGGAGCCAAGATGGCGTCTCGCTTCAAGGCATTCTCGGAAGACGAAATTTGACCGATAAATGAACCAGTCTTAAGAACAAATACCAAGAAAGCGACTATCTTTGGCTTGTCGGTGTTTACTGGTAGGTAGAAAACTATTTTCATGCTGAATTTGCGACAAAATCGTAAAAATGCACTTGACAAAATCTCTGAAACGTTTGTTAATGGAAATAAAGTTCCCACTAATTTGCAAAAAGGTGCTTTTTCTCATTTTTATCCGACTGATTTGGTAAATACTAAAACAACTTCCACTTAGGGGGTTAGTTGTATATTATGGGCACGTCCAAACTGAATATTTAATTGAGTATACTTTACACTATATTTATCCCAGATTGGGATATCTTGTATGAGAGATCTCATGAGTATTGTGGCTAACTTTCTCGTAGTAGGATAACTACATATTTTTTAATCTACACGTCCTACCTAACTTGGCCGACCCAAAATACTAAGATGAGCATCTCATTTCTAAACTGATTTTTCGCTGTACATGTTAAAAGCAATAACAAATGAAATCTATGAGCTCTCATAAAACTGAAAGTCAATTATTTAATACCTATTCTAGATGGGAAAGTTCACTTGATAGCAACTCATCACATGGTCCGTTCGAGAACGATTGGTTGTACAGCGCATTGTTAAAGGGGCTTATGTCACGCATCTGCTATCCTGCTTTTTGAAAGCTTAAAGGCGTGTTTGCATCTACAAAAAGTTCCAGAAATAATGGTCCAGTTTTGTTATTTGAGACTATATTTGCATTGAAACTGTTCCCTGTCGTCTGTTGCTATGGATAGCAACCAGTTAAACTGGAGTGAAAGATGATAGCACTTGTTCCTGTCGCAGGAAAGCAACGCCGTGGGGATTCAGTATGGTGAAGACGATTCCAAATGTACATCGGAAATCCATCTATTTCTTTCGTTGGCCTGCAATGGATTCAAGGCAGCAACAACCAAGTTATTATCGGCTCCACTTCTTTGTAAAGGTTGGGTGGGCGCCTAATCCCTTAAATAAGCTCTATAGTTACCGTAAACCCTCTATTAAGCCCCCGGGGGGTTTATTTATTTCAAACACATTTGAGGGAGGGGTGCCTACATAATTTAGCAAAGACGATGGTATCAGTTCTCCATAAAGAACGAGAACTACAAAGTGTAAAAGGTCAAGTACAATGGCTGTAGGTCATGCAGCCGAGAATCAAAAATACATCTGAAAGTCCAGCTGGTGAAAAAACTATCGTGGACCAGTCTACATGAAGTGTTACAGTTGTGATTGATAAATATGGTATATCATAAATTAGTGAAGAATAATAAGGGGAGGGGAGAGGAGGGGAAGAGCGGCTTAAAAGAGAAGGGGGGCTTATTAGAGGGGGAGCTTATTTGAGGGGGGCTTAACAGAGGATTTACAGTATGGCTGGCCCAAGGAAAATGCCTACTTTTCTGTCGTGTTGTTTGTTTCTCAATCGTACTTTGCGTAAAGTAAAAGGCTTCCCGGTCTCCAAACAATCAGGTGCCAGAAGTCTAAGAGCGGAGCCAAAGATAAAAGCCCTTTCATTTCTCAAGTCTACGAACACGTGATTATTTTTCTATCTTATCTTACAGAGAGGACCTCACCTTTCATTGACCAAAATTCAATGTCACGTCATCACCAATCAGCACGAATGGTGCCCAGTGCTTCACGGCATTGAATTTTTCCGACTCCCTCATCCTTTTCATGGCACGATGAAGTGACTTACTTGCGCTTTGCCCTGCTACTAAATGTTCGTAAAAGTGTCTCATAAACGCAAGAGTGGCTTCGTCATCAATCTCCCACAGTGTCGCAATAACAGAACGCGCACCCGCTCCTAAAAAGGCGCGTGCAATACCAACCACTCCTTCGACTTTGACATTTCCTCGCCCACTGTTGCAGCAGCTCAAGACAACAAGCTTGGCGTGCACTTTTGCATCCAACACATCAGCCATCGTCAAAAGAAAGTCTTTCTCTTTGGGTGTTTCTGCACTTTCAAAATTAGGAGAATTAGGAGACAAAATAATTTCTCCGGTTTCTGTACGACCATGAGCTGCTATGTGCACTAACGAAACTGAGTTGAGCCCGCTTAAAACCCGATCTTTTGTGGCGTTCTTTCCGGTGAGAGGCTCAATCTTTATAATTTGTCCAATCATTTTTACTTCTTCCTCAGCACCTGGAAGCTGCCGAAATGGTTTGCGGTTTATGCGTACAGTTTCCACCCAGGGGTTGCCAACAAGTAGAGCCCCCGATGTACTATGGCGGCCCTCCGGACATTCTGCCAGCAGCCTTAAGCTTGTCAGTGATGGAACCAATCTAATTCTAAGCGTTTCAGATAAATACCTGGTGTTTTGGTCCATAAGGGCAGCATACGGAATTAAGAACGATGAACCGTCAGGGACAATGACGAGTTCATCACCTTCTATCGACTGTGAAAATGGAGCGATAAATATGTCGTACAATACTTTTAAAGCGTCACCTTGGTCTTCAATCTCTTTTCGGGAGCGAATATTTTTCCACAAGCTTCTGTTCACACCAATCTGTTTGCATGTTTGGTAAATCATTGATGTCAAGTCATCACTGCTAACTCCCTGTTGCACAAAGTCATACAGCTTTCCCCCCTTTAACAGGATCCAGATATTCACTGACTGGGTATCATTCATTTGAAATAACGTGGGTGACGAAATATGGTTTGAAATGAGTTTCATCTGATGTTTCGGCTGTGAACAAATCGATTTCCTGACGCCATATTGGGATTCCAAGAGGTCCACGAGGGCTTCTGCTCGTCTCCTATCAGCTGTTAAAAGCGCCTCTAGTATCTTACGTTGTTGTAATTGAAGTCTCACTAAGCGACTAACGCAATCACGTTCATTCCGAAAGCTGATTTTCCACTCGTCGTTTCCTTCAAGGAGGACTCTCATTTCCTCTACCAGTTCAATGCAGGATTTAAAACACTTCTCGGCTTTGGAGTAGTTGCCAAGAGACCAAAGAACATTAGCAAGGTTTTCATATCCACGTTGTTCTATATCTTTGTTTCCAGTCTCGTTTGCTATTCTTCTACCTAGCTGATAAAATTCCACTGCTTTTTTGGAATCACCGAGATACCTATAGACATTTCCGAGGTTTATATATGTAGGTCCTTCTCCATTTTTGTTCCCAGTATCTTTTGCGATTCTTAGACTCTGCTCATAAAGTTCGATCGCTCTATTAAACTCACCGAGAGACTGCTTGAGGTCGCCAAGGTTGTTATATACAACTGCTTCTTGATATTTGTTTCCAGTATCTTTTGCGATTCTAAGAGCCAACTGATAGCACTCGACGTCTGCTTTTTGTAAATTATTGAGAGAATGATAGGCATTGCCAAGGTTGTTATATATAGTTGCTTCTTGATCTTTGTTTCCAGTATGTTTTGTGATTCTAAGAGCCAGCTTGTAAAACTCCATTGCTGTTTCTAAATCGCTGAGAGACTGATAGGCGTGGCCAAGGTTGTTATATATCATTGCTTTGCTATCTTTGTTTCCAGTATATTTTGCGATAGGTAGAGCCAGCTGATACAACTCCATTGCTTTTTTGAAATCACTGAGAGACTCATAGGCACAGCCAAGGTTGCTATAAATTATTGCTTCTAGACCTTTGTTTCCAGTATCTTTTGCGATTTTTAGAGCCAGCAGATGAAACTCGATTGCCTTGTTGAAATCACTGAGAGACTGATAGGCAACGCCAAGGCTGTTATATATAGTCGCTTCTCCATCTTTGTTTCCAGTATCTTTTGCGATTCTGAGAGCCAGCTGAGAAAACTCGACTGATCTGTTGAAATCGCTGAGAAAATGATAGGCACTGCCAAGGTTGTTATATATAGTTGCTTTTCGATCTTTGTCTCCAGTATCTTCTGCGATTCTTAGAGCCAGCTGATAAAACTCGATTGCTTTTTTGAAATCGCTGAGAAACCGATAGGCGAGGCCAAGGCTGTTATATATAGTTCCTTCTTCATCTTTGTTCCCAGTATCTTTTGCGATTCTAAGAGCCAGCTGATAAAACTTGACTGCTTTTTTGAAATCGCTGAGAGAATGATAGGCACCGCCAAGTTTGGTATACATAGTTACTTCTTGATCTTTGTGTCCAGTATCTTGTGCGATTCTGAGAGCCGGCTGATAAAACTCGATTGCTTTGTTGAAATCACTCAGAGACATATAGGCACTGCCAAGGTTGTTATATACAGTCGCTTCTCTATCTTTGTTTCCAGTATCTTTATGGATTCGGAGAGCCAGCTGATAAAACTCGATTGCTTTGTTGAAATCGCTGAGAGACTGATAGGCACTGCCAAGGTTGTTATATACAGTCGCTTCTCCATCTTTGTTTCCAGTATCTTTATGGATTCGGAGAGCCAGCTGATGAAAGTCGATTGCTTTGTTGAAATCGTTGAGAGACTCATAGGCGAGGCCAAGGTTGTTATATATAGTTCCCTCTCCATCTTTGTTTCCAATATCTTTTGCGATTCTTAGAGCCAGCTGATGAAACTCGATTGCTTTGTTGAAATCGCTGAGAGACTCATAGGCGAGGCCAAGGTTGGTATATATAGCTGCTTCTAGATTTTTGTTTGTAGTATTTTTTGCGATTCTAAGAGCCAGATGAGAAAACTTGATTGATTTGTTGAAATCGCTGAGAACATAATAGGCACTGCCAAGGTTGTTATATACAGTCGCTTCTCCATCTTTGTTTCCAGTATCTTTATGGATTCGGAGAGCCAGCTGATGAAACTCTATTGCTTTGTTGAAATTGCTGAGAGACTCATAGGCGAGGCCAAGGTTGTTATATACAGTCGCTTCTCCATCTTTGTTTCCAGTATCTTTATATATTCTTAGAGCCAGCTGATGAAACTCGATTGCTTTGCGGAAATCGCTGAGAGACTTGTAGGCGAGGCCAAGGTTGGTATATATAGCTGCTTCTAGATTTTTGTTTCCAGTATCTTTTACGATTCTGAGAGCCAGCTGATAAAATTCGATTGCTTTTTTGAAATCACTGAGAAAATAATAGGCACCGCCAAGTCTGTTATATATTGCTTCTTCTTGATCTTTGTTTCGAGCATCTTTTGCGATAGGTAGAGCCAGCTGATAAAACTCGATTGCTTTGTTGAAATCGCTGAGAGACCGATAGGCGAGGCCAAGGTTGTTATATATAGTTCCTTCTCCATCTTTGTCTCCAGTATCTTTTGTGATTCTTAGAGCCAGCTGATAAAACTCGATTGCTTTGTTGAAATCGCTGAGAGACCTATAGGCATCGCCAAGGTTGTTATATACTTTTGCTTCTCCATCTTTGTTCCCAGTATCTTTTGCGATTCTAAGAGCCAGCTGATAAAACTCGACTGCTTTTTTGAAATCTCTGAGAGACCCATAGGCTCTGCCAAAGTTGTTATAGCTAGCTCCTATCGCGTCTTTGTTCCCGATTTCTTTGGCTTCATTTAATGCGATTTGAAAATGATCCCGGGCTATTTTAAAATCACCGCGTTTTAAAGCTTTCATTCCAAGGTAATTACTGTACAACCAATTCGGTTTAGAAGTTTGTTCGGGTTTTCCATGTTTGCCTTTGCTTCTACGGTATGCCTGTAAAAAATGTAAAAAAAAATCTCTTTTGAAGCAAGTCATGGTATAGAAGATGTTTTTATTGTAAAGTAATACCCTTCGTGAGGAAGAAAATAGCCAGCAAGATTTTTTGTGGCAATACGAAAAGTCAACTCTTCCCTTGCAGATACCTCGATATTTCGGACGACCGCTGCTAATACAGCCAAATCCCCAGCAATACACACTCCCACTATTGCTCGCTTGAGCCAGATTATAGCTTTGAAAACAGATTAGCACATAATATAGCTCAGACGGCAAGTTTCAAGAAATTCTACCAAGAAATCCCTGGAGAAAAATTGAATGGAAAGAAATCTTCCGTTAAAAATTTTTCGAGAATTTGGGTATACCTTCCGAGATTGTCCTCTTTTTTGGAAGTTTTGAAAAATACTGTACCATTTGCTACTGGAAGTTGCCGAAAATTCACAGTGGACGTGTGGTTGAATGGAAAGCGCCCAAAGTGTCTTTATGGAAATGATTTTCCCGACAATGTGTTTTTTCTAGTGGTTATGAGCTAATAATTATTTTAGCTGGGCAATTCTGTAAAATGGACATTAACTTCGGTCAATATCTCAAACCCTTGAAATCTCATATGTAACCTATTCAAGCTCCATCCTCGGCTGAATTGAAATTAGTTCAATGCGAGAAAGACGAACCAACCATTCACTGTAATTAATCTCCGCCAAAAGGGAACGAATGGTGGTATTCGGCGATGGAATCTCTTTTACTAGCCAACCGTGTAATATCAGTAATGAAAGGTCACTTCGACCGCTTAATCAAAACAATTCAAAATGCTATTTTATAGAAATAAAACAAAATACCTCGTTGTCCACGGCTCTTCTACTCGTCGCTTTATTCCTTAGTTCAAGCAACGTGGTGTTTTCCGCGTCGATCTTCCAAATTGTTAAGGTGTAAATAGTATAATATCGAATTTAAGTTGAAGTAAAGTTTACTTACAGTACTTGTCTCTTCTTGTTGTGATTCTAGTCCACTGCCGGGTTGCATCAAATCATATACAACTAGGTGAAAACAACAAGATACACCTTCCCCTTTTTCGCTTTGGAAGCAAGACATATTTTAAAAAGAACGTGTACCGAATTAAATCAGAAAAGCGTTGCCCCTCATGAGCTGCCTAATGAGAAGCCAAACCAGTATGTAACGGCCCTGTATATATCGGTCACCCTATATACTACGGCTACTGAACAACTCTCCGAAAATATTGCCATATATGTTCTGTAAGGTTGATCTGTATAAAGCGGTCACCTCTCTATAACGGATGCGGTCACCCTTTAGACTCCCAAAATGCTCAATTCCGCTATATTTTACCTCTTTATAACGGTCAACAAATTGGATTACGATCAAATCATGAGCAAACTTCAATATGTGTGTTCTCAAGTAGACGGCAAAATGAATACTAGGGAAATCGTCGAATCAGTTAACCTTTTCATGGCAATCGAATGGGGGAACTACAAGCGTTGAATGAACTCAGAATCCAGTTGAATTTAAAGGAAACATGTATACAAATATATAGTGGTCACCCATCTCTCAGGGGTGACAGTTATAAATAGGTTTGACTGTACGCAGTATTTTCCCTGCAACATGGTTAAAGAGAGGATAATCCTCTGTAGATAATATTGAGACGCTAATACGACTAATATTGTTGACACTGCTATTGCTACACAAACCTTATAAAAACTAACTTTTATTAGAAAAGCCATTTTTTCTGTACTTTTGTGGTCTTTTTTGAACAAACAAAGAAACAAGAAAATGTCACGTACTGCTTTGTAATTCGCAAAGAAGAAGTTTTGATAAGCGCCGCCCTCAGATAAGTACCGAACCGTTAGTCGAGAAAAATGGCAACCAATTCGTAACGGAAGTGTGCATAACAAGTTGCGAAAATAAACCACCTTTCAGCCATGGAAGAACATAAAGAGTAAAAGGATACTGCTAATCCTTGATCACACCACGTGATAGCCAGCTCAAACAGTTTTAACTTAACAAACGCTTTCGCCCCTAAAATCGTAAAATTAAAGCACGTTGAAAACATTTTTATGTCTTGCTCCCTTCCTCCTTGCCATTTCTCAAAATAGCTCATTTGTCAGTGTTCTTAGTGGAGCTCCACCCGCGCGCGAAGCGCGCGCGTGGACGGAGCCCCATACCTAAGGAAATGTGGCAATCTACCCATCCGAGAAAATTTGGTAATCACGTGACCGTACGCCCGACCGTCCGCACCACAGGGAAACCAATGTTTATTCTCACACTTTCTAGCTAGTTTGGGAGCTCAAGAGAAAGGCTAATTGCACTTCAATGTTGTGATCAATTGACAGCTGTCAAAACAGGATATCCGCTGACCAGTATCACCTGACCGTACCGCGGGCTCAAGTGTCGACCCATGGAAGTCGGGTACTTTTTTGAAGTTATCCGCTGACAAATTAATAGTTTCTAATGATCGCATGCTCAAGTCTATTTTTTCCAATGATTCATATGAAATGTGTTGTGTTTTTGTCACTATGGCCCCGCACTGTCAAGATTTTGATTTCAAACTCACTTCGGACGCGAAAATTCAGCCAGCGCGAAGACCTTTTCTTACCATGGTCACGCGTTGGTCACGCTCTACGTCCAATTTTTGTACTCTGATTGGTCAAAATTTGACAGGTGAGTTCATGCGGAAAATTCATACAGCATCTTGAAAGTTGTTTACTTTGACAGCTGAAGCTGACAGAGTTTTGTGTCAACTTGTGATGTTTTTAACTGTCTTTTTCCACTGGATGTACAAAATGAAATACAGCTACTAACAAGAGTCTTCTGTTACCCATGGCTGGTTGTTTATTGGGGTTTTGGTTGAGAAATGCGTCGCTTGTCAAAATCGCTTGTCTTCGTGAATGAAAACTGTTATCTCTGTAAATGCTTCACCGAATTATATTTCTTTTATTGATTGTTAGTAGTCTCTCTTGCAATTTTAATCGCTTGTCCGTGGCGTTTGTTTTCATTGTTCATGAACATCGCTTACAGGAGTACTTATAAATGCCGCGCGTATCAAACGCTTTATAAGACTACACATCGTTATAACTGAAACCATTAAATAACAAAAAATAATGATAATAAATTTGTGATTATGTTGAAGCGTATCTCTGTTAAAGTTCATTCAAACACTCGACCATGACTGACAGCTCGCACTAGAAATGAGAACCGGCTGGCCGTATAGGTGATTTTGGAAATTTTTTGAACTGTTTCGCTAAAAGCCCACGATTGATCGTCCTGAACATTGACTGAGTACAATTTGTCTTGAAAAATTGTGAAATACCGTTTATACTGTCCGAGGTCTGTATGATAAATAGGTACTGTTTAAAGGTTGGTTTACACACCCTCAGATTTGTTGGCAAGAATTAGTAAAGTAAACCTATCGAACGCAAAAAAAATCGGTCTGATTTGTTTTCCAAGAATTTGTTTTCGAGGCCTAATCTACTGTGATCAAGAGCCATTATGGTTCTTGAATGAGACCAGTCTAAAATTTAGGTTCAAAGGTACATTCGTGGCACATTTACGCTGAAGCACCTATGATAGCTCATGCACGTCATACGTGCCTATGTTGGAGAGAAAGAAGAACTATGTCGCAAGTAGCCTACGAATAACCGTAATTGCCATTTTTGTACTATCAAGAGCCCGTGAGCAGACAAACATTTAATGATGACTTTGTTAACCTCTGGACTCCAAATTTAAACTTCAATTTCTTCCATGTTATTTAAAAGTTTGAACTTTAATTGTAGCCGTTTGAACTTTTGTGAGGAAACAAATTAAAGAAAGGCTACGGCCTTTTCACAAGAACGCGGTAATTAGAATCCTTTACCAACATTACTAGCATAATTATGTTAACCCCGTCTATTTCTTAGATACTAATAAGTTTATAAACCTCTGAAATCACCTGCTATTATTGGTTTGATTGATAATGGTCGAATGTCCGTGGCGTTTTTGGCATCTACCAGTGAGTAAATGTAATTTCCTATGAAAGTTGAAAATACAAATAAACAAAAAGTCACTCACAGCAAACGCAGCGAAGCAAATTCAAAGCAAATAAGATCAGTGAAAACTGATAAGCCTCTGAAGGACCATTCCAAAGCAAGTAAAAAATATTCAACATCATTGGTTAACCAATCAGAAAGTAGGCAATGTTTCTTTACTTTCTAAATACAAGTAGCCTCACCTAAACGAAGGTTTGCATATGCTCTGTTGCTGTACAGTTTCCCCTTTAGGTCTTCGTCCATGCTGTTTACTTTAATTCCCTCAGTATAAAAGTAAACGGCGCTGCTGTAATCTTCCTTTAAGTACGCTTTAATGCCTTCGGTTTTGTACACTTCAGCTATTGCTAAAAATGAAGCAGGTTGAAATGTCATCAAACCTCATGATCATGTCTATAGTCGAGGTACAGCCGCCCCCTCCCCTCCCCTGCCTTGTCCCCAGTCGCTCGCGATCACTTTTTGGGGAATATTAGAGTCAATTGTTAAGGAAAGGGGGCAATAGGACTGATAGGAAGAGAAGAAACAGTGAAGTTCTCTCTCTTTTTCCTTCCCATCACTCTCCAATCGCGTTCTGTCCTCGTTCCCATCATACCAATCTCGCGCTCCTCGTTGGTTTCCAGCTCTCGCCCTTCTCACTTGTTCCGT